GTGATGGTGTCATGATAATGATGCTGGTGGTGGTACTGTCATTATGGTAGTGATGGTGATAGTGTCATGATGATGATGGTGGTGGTGGTACTGTCATTATGGTGATGAAAGTGGTAGTGATGGTGTCATGATAATGATGCTGGTGGTGGTACTGCATTATGGTAGTGATGGTGATAGTGTCATGATGATGATGCTGGTGGTGGTACTGTCATTATGGTGATGATAGTGGTAGTGATGGTGTCATGATAATGATGATAGTGGTCGAGGAGATTACTAACACAACTACACAAAGCACCTTATAGTATGACTGGTGTATACAATCATGGTGGTAATAACTATAATTGTGCCTCATTTCTACGATGAGAGTCTTACCAGTGTCACAGTGGAATCCTGTGAAGCCGTACCGACAAACACATTCATATCCTCCTTCCTTTGGGACACAAACACCATTGTAACACGGGTTGCTTAAACAATGTTCTTTCTCTAGTTAACAAAATAAAAAGGATGTTAATAGTATCGCTATTACTTTTGGGCCATTTCTGTACATAACATCGTACCTATTTCACAGTAAGTTCCTTTGTAGTTACTCGTACAAGCACATCTGAAAGATGGTGGACTTTCATCAATACACGTGCCGCTATGTAAACATGGAGATGTTCGACATGTGGGTAACACTAGGAAACACAAAAAATTCTTAGTATGTTGCAAATAGTGATGGTTATATTAAGGAATTATGATTGTAAGGATTACGATTAGTTTAAGAGAAAGTATTTAAGGTGGCTCGATACACTTTTCAAAAATTCAGGTCTTCAACATTTTGACATGTTCAAGCTACGCATTTTTAGGATTTATTCAGCAGATACTGGGGTTTTTCTATATTTTAATATACTTTCAAATTATATTAGTTTTAGTAACATATAGTTCGTTGCTATGACGACATAGGTGTACGAAATTCTCTCCAAAATGGCCTATCGGCTCGTATAATTGGAAAAGAAGCATGGGGACTCCCAATTTTTTTCGTGCATTATTTCACTTGGAAGAAAAACTAACAATTAGCAAAAAAATCCTGTAATGCCATTTTTTGGAAATGCGAAAATGTTGTACTCTTCGGTAAAATGTTTTTGGCATTACAGAATAGGTCACCAGACAAAATAGAGAGGTATAGCGCATTGTTTTTCTAAAATGGAAAATTCTAATGACGTCAGCAATTGACATAAAACGCTATAGAACACGCACAATGACGTGAGATGGCGCAAGCAACTGCTCACGTCAGCTCATTTTGGAAGATCTTTCATTTCATTAAGCTACGTTTACACGCTGCGATTAATCGCGTACGTTTCTGGCGTATGTCATTGAGTAAACACGCGTAAGCTGGCTACATTTGAAATTTCTTTTTAACGAAACGGCAATAAATTATGGCGCCAGCACTCATGATCGTACACGATTAATCGTAGCACAGAGTAGAGACATACAGAGACGTAACTAGTGTACCCACTTTTTTTGTGCGCATGCTCGGCAAGTTACTAGATGCATGCATCTGATTGGATAACGACCTGATGACGACTCACTTTAAACTTGCTGAGCACGCGCAGTTGATCATTTTTCGCCCGGTCGCCTGAAAAAAAGTGGGTACATGATAACGTAATCTTCCGCAGTGTTTACAACGGTCAGTTACGTCTCTGTATGTCTTATCTACTCTGTGATCGTAGCGTGTAAGCACAGAGTAGAGACATATGTATTATTACTCTGTGTTGTAAATGTAGCTTTAATCAGTTTCCGCGACCTGCGCGTTAAAAATGGTCACTCGGTTTTGTTCGCGATTCTTGAGCAGGGTTTTTGTGAGAACTATATCGAGCCACATTAAGTTTGTTTCTAGCCGAGGTTCTAACAATCACTTTGTTAAAAAAGCACCAACATTCAATAAATGGCAAAGCTAACCAATGCTGTGCTAATAAACTTGCACTTAGACTATGTGCACACGGTAACGTTTTCGAGCGTTTTCACCGTGTCTACACGAAAACGGACGAAAACGACGTCTTGTGACGAAAACGTTTTCAATGCTAAAAACGTTTTCGGACAAGCGTTTCGCGTTGAAAACATAGAAATAATAGACAAGTTGATAGACAAAAGGTCTAATGACTAATATTTCTATGCTTGAAACACTAAAAATCCAAGATGGCGGCTTAAAATCAAAATATTTATTTTTTGGTTTCCTGGAAGCTTAGATCTTTCATTGGTATCATTAATAATTCTTAAGTTAAAAACTTTAGCAAAAAATAAAACAAAATATATAGCCTTTCAAGTGTATAATGATTTATGAACGATTTAAAATGTGTTTTGCTTTCGAAGAAGCGACCGTCAAGCGACAGACTTCGTATCGGTGAAGCTGAACATACACATGCATAAAAGTATAAAACTGTTTACTTTATTATAATGAGCACAGGACATTTTAAGCCGAAACTCGTTGACAAGTAATGACTCCCTCTGATAGAAAATAAACGGTGATAATAAGCCGCGAGAGATGAAATTTTTGTCGAGACAAACATTTGCATCTCGTGAAAACGTTACCGTGTGGACAGAGCTTCAAACTGACAAAATTGGAAACGACGTTTTAGAAACGCTCGAAAACGTTACCGTGTGGACAGAGCTTCAAACTGACAAAATTGGAAACGACGTTTTAGAAACGCTCGAAAACGTTACCGTGTGGACAGAGCGTCAAACTGACAAAATTGGAAACGACGTTTTAGAAACGCTCGAAAACGTTACCGTGTGGACAGAGTCTTAGTCCAAAGACAATACATTTTAAACGTACCATTGTCACAATAATCGCCAGTAAATCCTGGTAGACAGCGGCAGAAGTAATAATTTATTCCTTGGACACAGGTCCCCCCATTTACACAGTTGTTGTTTAAACATTCATCTATGTCTGAAAACAAAATACACTTTATTATTGTGTTAATTGTGTTTAGTAGCGACATTATTATGAGCTTTTAGCGAGTAAGATACAAAGTTTACGACTTGTAAACAACACTAAATTTTAAGCCGTGACAAGTAGTTCAGTATAGAATTCTTCGGGACGCCTGATCTTTCTTGAACTATATGAAATTCGTTGGATGGATAACACACGACAAGTTTTCTTTACAACACAATTGATTTGTGCACTACAGAACCCCACAGCGAGGCAAGGCACAGTACCAACAAAGTTTAGATGACGTCATCACTTGCCTGTTTCACAGTTGACACCGTTGTACCCAGGTACACAGCTGCAGGTATACTGATCACGTGATATAGCCGTGCAGTTGGCGTGATTTTCACATGGTTCAGAGAAACACGGGTCATCTGGCATATCAGAAACTTGACAACTCCACGCTGCGACCTCTATCCAGGGACGAGCAGCAGGTTTGAAAGCAATACCATGAGATGTCGCTGAAAAGAAAAAAAAAACTCTCTTCAATATTTAATCCTAATATTTCAACCCATAATTATCAAAGTGAAAAAATCTTATCCTAATGAATTGCTCGCGCAAGTGTAAATATTTCTCAAGATCATTAGCTACCCTTGTAACTGAATACTAATAACTTAAACAAAGAAGATGCACGCAACCCGACCGCGTTTTGAAGCAGCTCGCTCTGTCTTTTCTGTTCATTTAAAAAATTCTAGTACCTTTCCATCGATCGCCATTAGTATCATACAAAGTCATCAATACTTCTTCAGGCACTCCATCTTGCAGAGTGACCCAGGGAACCAGAGTCATTCTCACCATACTTGGCTTCCATTTCACTTCGTCCCACTCTGATCTCTTAATATACTGCCAGTTACCTCCAGCTGGATTGATACTTCTGATGACGTAACGATCTGCAGATAGTGCGTATAATCGATGGGTGGATTTATCCACGCCCAGCAAACCAAGAATGTCAGGTATATCTGCAAATATAATAACGAGAGTAAAGACACAGGCTAAACTTACAACCACTTTTTACATTGTAGAATTTTACATTATATTATTTTTTGACATGTCTTGGGTTCCGTCTGCCCGAAATAACCATTAAAGGGCTAAAAGAATCAGGCAGACAATTTACACACAACGTTAGACAAACAAATATAACGAAGCTTGTATAAATTGATACCAGTGATACATTACTGAAGAGGTTACCCTACGGAAATAAATATGATTTGATTTGATTTAAAGTAATCAATTTACTAAATACTGCAGTACTCAATTTAGCAGAACCAACCACAGAGAGAAGAAAACACCATATAATTTTGAAATTATTAAAATTTTGAAGGTTTTAGCAAATTCAATAAATAAAAATAATGAAAGCAATTCAAACAATTAAATACATAAGTAAACAAAGCAATAAGCTAGTATGAATCAAAGAACATTTTGAACATTTTTTTGAACAAGTTTATTTTTTAGATTAAAAACTGACGATTTTTTATCGGGCTCATCAAGGAAGTTCCATATCTTAACATCTTGATATCTAATATTAAAAATTCCATAATTAGTTCTAAATTTTGGCAAAGAAATACGACTGCCTCGATGCTAACCTCATATTATAAGTATGTAAGTCTTTGACTGGTGTGAAAAGATTATTAAAGGTAGTTCCTCGTGATAATAGTTACGCATAAACGTTATGAACTTATGGCATGTAGAGTGAAAATATCATGTACCGGTAATTTAATTATTTTTAAAGATTTGAATATTGGTGTGGAATGAGCATCAAATTTAGAAAAGTTAATTATACGCAAAGCCTTTTTCTGTAAAATAAATAAAATATGAAAATGAGTTGCAACATCATTTATCAATAACTAACATTCTTACCAAACCATCTGTCAGTTGACCCACTGGTCATTCGGCATATTGCGACGTCTTTACGCCTGCAATAACACATTCATTAGATATTACGTAAAATATGTGAGATAAAGTTTGGGATGGTCCTTACAAAACATCTCAGGAGAAAATTTCAGAAATGATAGAGCTATTTTATTTTCCTGGAAAGTGGTTTTAGTGAGTGACCGCTTCAAAGTTGAAAATATGATGAAGAAATGTTTATACCTCAAATGTGACGAATCACAAACGTAGAATGAATGTGTCCTTGAATTTAACATGACTGCTCGACTTGGTAAGGAAATTTCTTGAGCTAGAGAAAAGGTTCAAACATGAATCGTAAAAACACTAGAGAGGAAACTCATGCGTGAGCATGATGGCGTGCTGATGGCGCGTCAACCTGATCGCATTTCAAAAATATGATATCACTAAACCAAAACAATCCCACCTTTAGCAATAATACAGGTAAGCATTTTAGTAAAAAAAATGGAATAATACAACCATGCCACTCTATGATGGATTATCTAAACATTTCTTATTATTTTCAGGAATATATCAAACATAACCGCTGGATGTAAATACATACCATCAGCGTCGAGGAAACAATCCACTCGGAATGCATCAAAATTAAGATGTCCAGCAGCGGTATCATCCACCAATCGCAACACAGCTTCTTTCCCGCGAAATGCTTTCACATCCCACGTGACCTCTGTCATCTCGTCACCATCACCGCTGGCTTTACGTACTGACTTGCCATCAATCATTAACTCTGCGCGCGCATCTGTATTATTTACAGTTCCACCAACGAGGAAGTGGAATTTTGATGTGACGATCAGGAAACTTGGGGATGTAAGTGTACCTATAGGAGTATCACCTTGTGTATTCCCTGCCAGTATATGAGATCTCATGCGATCTTCCGCTGTAGAGATCCAAGCATTTCCTTGAATATTTGCAGATTTCTTCTTCCTCACTTTATAATTGTCTCCGATTGTCGGTTGATTGTCAAATGCTGTTCCTGTTTTCTCCCAGCCAGCAACACCATTTTCAAAGTCAAATATAGGACAGTAATCCGCTACAAAACACACAAAGTCATAAATTTAAAAAGTGCTCTATTAACAGCGATTTCTGATCCTCCATTGATCAAGAAAAGAATGGCAAGGGTAGATGTGCACGGGCAAAGCAAGCCATTTCTAATTTCTTTTTCTTTCATAGCGAGGCGACTTTATCGAGTCAATTTCCATAGAAGAAACCACATATGAAAAGTAGCAAGTTTCTTACCACATACCGAAATCTTCTTGGGGGAACTAACCCATGCCGAAGTGTTCCTGGAGAGTCAAGAAATACACAAGTCTTCCCGGGGGAACTAGCACATACCTAAATCATCCTTGGGATGCACATTACAACCAAACACTTGAACATCCAATGCGTGACGTCTTTTCCAAGACTTCGGCACAATAAGAAGATATCTGGCGTGCGTCAGTGAGGGCAGGAAGTTGAAGGCGACATTTTTGCCATCTGTGTTGCCCTGGAACAGCTGTTAGAAAATAGCACGTTAAAAATGAGCGAACGATTTAAATCAGAGACAAACGGCGTCACAACGAAAAACGGACGCAAGCGGATATTAAGGTGGCTCGCTACAGTTTATAGAAATGTTGAAAATGTGTAAACTAGATCACCTTTTTTGACGAGATGATGCTCTTTACAAATCGAAATTTGTATATTATATATACAGCGACAATCAAACAGTCGAAAATTGCTCAGAAAAGTGACGTCACCACTGTTGCTATGGCAACAATGACGATTCAAGATGGCCGATATTTTGGCTTTGAACGCATTTTACTTTAAAAAAAGGTCGGTTACCCCTATTTTTTATTTCAGAAAACATTTTCTTATAGTACAATACACTATCTGACCAATTTTAAAAAAATTCTGTAATGCCAAATTTTTTAAAAATTTATAAACATGGTTTTTCAAAATAATTTTTTTTTTGCATTACAGAATTTTTTTAAAATTGGTCAGATAGTGCATTGCACTATACGAAAATGTTTTCTGAAATAAAAAATGGGGGTAACCGACCTTTTTTTAAAGTAAAATGCGTTCAAAGCCAAAATATCGGCCATCTTACATCGTCATTGTTGCCGTAGCAACAGTGGTGACGTCACTTTTCTGACCAATTTTCGACTGTTTGATTGTCGCTGTATATATAATATACAAATTTCGATTTGTAAAGAGCATCATCTCTTCAAAAAAGTGATCTAGTTTACGCATTTTCAACATTTCTATAAACTGTAGCGAGCCACCTTAAAACTTACTTTAATATCATTATTTTCGCGAGATGCTGACCACTCCACGGAATTCTTGCTATAGTACACGTGATATGTTCGAACGAACGCCTCTGAAGGCGTTGCCTGGCCACGTGTTGCGATCTGAATGATAAAAATAAGGTCTTCGGTGGCGCAGTTGTCACAGCAGGCGCCTTTCACTTCTGAGATCGTGGGTTTGATTCTCGCTATGGACTCATGTGAAAAGAGTCAGTCAACGCTTTGCCGAAAGTCGTGGGTTTTCTCCGCGTGCTCAGGTTTCCTCCCACACTGGTTAGGATAAACATAGTTAAGAAAGTAACAATTCACTTATTCACCAATAGCGACGCCATCTTGAATCAACATGCATTATGGGTTATCCAGGGTAAAAATACGAATTCAAAAGCCTTTATTGTCGTATTGAGACACAATACGATAATTTTTTTTTCATAAACACTTTCTTGAGGACAATGAAGCAGTGTAAATCAATTTTATGCGCACTTTATTGAAATTATTTCCCTTTTTAGGCCTAACAAAGATTTAAACTATAGATTTTATCCTGATTTTTTTATTTTTCCCAGCTTTTGTGTGTTTTCCTAGTTCTTCTAAAACTTGTCTGTTATTTTCAACTATAAAAATAGGTACGAAATGCGTACATGTGGCTAGCTTGGTAAACTTTAACTCCCCAAACCTTCCTCCAAACCCAGAGAGCCTGCCATGCTGGTTAACTTTAATAGTAATAAGAAGATACGCAGGCTAACTTTAATAGTAATAAGAGGAGATATTATTGTACAATGCATATGCATTCTCTGTGGTGATTGGCTAAGAATCTACAAACAATTCTCAATGTCTTGCTGCCTCCGACATTGAAAAATTGTCGGTAGGTGACATAACTTCTAGTATGCATGGCTGACCTACAAAACTCTCTGCAACTGCATGTGCTCTTGCATTTGCAATTGTACAATGTATCAATTACTGTGTCCAGCCCTCAGCTTCAGCAGATAACATTAGCCCTATTCACATTAGAGACGGACAAGTCGTCTAGACGAACAAATCGTCTCTCAAAAATCGTCTTCACAGACGGACAAGTAGTCGAACAAATTCAGACGACTTGTTCGTCTAAAATTTTGTCCGACACGTTTTCACATCTGATGATTTGTCCGACTAAAAGACGATTTTGAGACGATTTGTTCGTTTAGACGACTTGTCCGTCTTCTAATGTGAAAACGGCTATTGTCATAGCTGTCGAGGTTGACTGCATATCGTGCATAAGACTTGGCACTCCTAGGAGGGAGGAGCTAGGTGTTCCAGCATCATACACACTTCCCACAATGTCTTAAGACTTTGGTTTCTGAAATGACATTTCCAGCATTATTTGAACACATTTTTGAAAGATTACTTTTCCTAACCCATTAAGTTGCAAAGCTTCCCCATTGACAAATAAAATCGTCTGGCGTTGGACACTGGACAGGTAAAAAACGTAGGGCGCACTGGGGCACATTGCGGCACAATGGGTTAATCAATATTGTAGGGGCTGTTCATGTTAAGGTGAAATGAAGCATTATTGACTGCAAAATTAGTGTGGAAAATATAAAGAGAAAGCAAAGTCATTTCACACATTTCTGAGTTTTGCATTTGTCTTAATTTTAGCAAATTCTGTAGATTATACTTTGTGGATGCTTATACCCAGGGGATGCTTATACCCAGGTGGTGCTTATACCCAGAGGGTGCTTAATGGCAGGGGTTGCCTATTCTTAGGTTTCACTACAGCATTATGCAGTGAATCTGACGGGGGGTCAACCTCAAATGTATTGATGCTTATGCTGTAGTGGAGTGAGAAAATGATACGAAATTCCATGTATTTGCCACCGAACACAAGGCTAATACATAAAACGAACAATCGACTCACTCTGATAACTGTGTTTTGTTGACCGTCCGTCACTTTTGTGATGTCATATGAAACCCAAGAATACGGGTATACTTGCTGGATGCTTATTATACCCAGAGGGCACTTTAGCAAATAATTTCAAAAGGAATGTGGAAACACATTAGATGATGAACACAACAATTTTTATACATGCAAGGAGATATATACTAAAAAATGCAAATACTAACAAAATTACTAAAATAATTTCATCTACATGAACTACTGTACTATAGCAATAGTCAAGGTTGTTCTTGTGACTACATTAGCAAAAGTTAAGGTAGTTTTTTTTACTAATATAGCAATAGTCAAGGTAGTTAATCCCAGCACAAATGGCAATTGCTTTGCAATATACAGTACTCCTGGCCTTCTTGACTTGTTTTTGTTTGGTACGTGGCCTTTCACGTACTGTAAATAGCCCTGTATGATCAGTACGAGCCACAATGGGCCCTTTCATGTGTAATATTGTATTTTTCAATTTTTGATTTGGCTCCTTTGTATACTGCATTTCTGATTTGATACGTCGACTTCGCGTATAAGAATGCCATATCTATATTCGGACCAAAAATATATCTTTGACCAGAGCAAGCCAAAATGGCGTTGTATATAATATATATAATATAAAAGCAAACTTATACAAAAATAGAAATGAGCAAATATACCTTTTACTCAAAGGAACACAAGGAATAACGCAATATGCTGCTCAAAGAAACACAAGGAATAACGCGATATGCTGCTCATGCTAGTGTAGAAATAGAAGTCCTCAAACTGGATCAAAATCATCAAATGCCTCGAAATGCAAATGTGAAATGTCGGCAGAAAAATACGGGCGCTTCCGATACTTTACGAAAATCCGGACTGGACACCATGATCATCATCGCTCATCGCGTTTGTGTACTATGTGATAATGGCTAGCCCGCAAACGGGCTAGCCACAAAAACGTGTGTTTTCGCCTACATATTTGATTTACAGCCCTTCAAAAACGCTCAATAACCCTGGATCACCCATAATGCATTGCGTTAAACGCGAAATTCAAGATGGCGTCGCTATTGGTGAATAGGTGAATTGTTGTAAAGATAAATAGTCTATTAAAGCTAAGCAAGTAACATAAGTAAGCGTAATACTTGGTGTAATCGGTCACCGAAAAGCCCCAATGGGGAGTGAGATAAATAATGACAAATAGCGAAATATTGCAAGAACAAACATATCGCGCAGGTCTATACAACCGTAGTAATACTGCTCTCCATATATTTTACACTATACCTTAGTGACTTTCATCAATCGTGATAAATTGAGATGTAAAAACTGATTTTTATCAGTTGCCAGTGAGTCAGCAGTCATCCAAACTCCAGGCTTGAAGAACGAAGCCCGTTTTGCTTCACCACTGTTTGATACAGACGAGGCAGAATAATGAGAGTCTTCTAACTCAATCCGTTTTTCACATGCTAAAAAATATGAGATGAATATTTAAGGCCTCTGTGTGGGATAATTGCAGAAAAGGTTCACGGGATAAGTTGCAAAAATTTAAAAAATCGTATGAAATACGCTCTTCCCAAATTTGAATAACTTAAATTGGCCGACACTAGAAAATAGGCGAATGAAACAAAATTTTTGTCCAATGTTCAAAGTATCCCACAAATTAGGCCCATATTATCTTTCACGGCCATTTAATCGAGCGAATGGTACACGAGGTCATGACTACAATTTTGTTGTCCCCAAACCAAACACCACTACACAACTATGATAGTCCTGAATATAATGGAGCAGTGGTATGGAATTCAATACCAATTGAAATTAGGAATTCCACCTCACTAAAATATTCAAAAATAAACTGTAGAAATAATTTGTTGTACATATATATATATTTCTCATTTTCTTGTAAATATTGTAAATAATTCAAATGTCACGGCGGCTGAAAAGATCATCTCAATTACAGGCCTCTTTACTATCACTATCATGTGAAAAGTAAAAAAAAAAAACGCTCTGCCGAAAGTCGTGGATTTTCTCTGGGTGCCCAGTTTCCTCCCACAGGGAAAGTTGACAGGGTGGGTTAGGATAAACACGAAAGTAATATCACAGTTGTTCTAAAGATAAAATAGTTTAGGTTAACTATGTAATTGGTAAGCGTAGTACTTGATGTAAAGCACATTTGATCCCCGGCGAGCTAACCTGTGGTGGAGACAAACTTGACAGGCAAACGTCCAGAGTCACGGCGTGCATTATATAATGACGGTGGCCTGACAGAGGGATCATCTGCACCATAATACCACAGATTAACCAGAACAGCCACGTGATAATCGTCATTACGGTCAGCGGCAAAGTATGGATCCACAGCAACAACGAGGGATAAAGTGACAGACTTTGATACCAAAATCTGATTAAACTGTAGAAGTAAACAAAACGTTCATCAGCCACCATGCTATCCATATAGAGTACAATACTGATAGTTTCAGTTTAGAAAGGAAAGACGGTGGGATTTTCATTTTAAATAATTTTAATTTAATATTATATGCCAACATTAAATGGACTCTTATAAAACTGGCCGACTGTTATCTCGGCAAAACTATGGTTTATCAATTTATCAACGGATAGAGTGCAATACTAAAGGTTTCAGTTTCATGATACACAGTTCGTTTCTCAATTCTATTTACTTGGCACCTAATACAACACAATACAACACTGCAGCACACAATGAGAAGAATTATTGAGATAACTGCCAGTAAAACTGGGAAGAGGAGGAAGTCTGGTGTGGCATTTGTTTTACCTTAAATTTTATCATCGAAATCTCAGATTTATCCACACTACTCCATGGGACGCCCTGTCCATAACGATGATTCAACACTTTCAGATAGAACGGAATCTGGAGTTGTAGAAGCGCATCTACAGCCTTGGCTTGTGATTTTGAGGTATGTGTTATTGTGATACGACATGTAACTTTATCACTATAGATAAATACAAGAAAACGTTTTGTTATTCATTGTCTATTAAGGTTCGATTACACATTCAGAAATAACCTCCTAATACTGTCGCGCTCCAAACTCATCTGATACGCGTTCTGAGTTCGAACGTAAAGCAAGAGCGCGTCCGGTTATGACGCAGTAGTTATAATAAACGTTCTATATAATAAATAATGAGAGTGTGGGAGGTTATGACGCAGTAACAATTGGACATCACTGACGTCATACACATCCATCGCTAAGAACAAGTTGTGTCGGCCGCAGTGTAGACATAAAAATGATTCCATATATTAAGGTCCATACAGACCGAACGCGACTCGACAACGCGACGCGAATTTTCAGTTTTTAAAAACTAATAAAACCGTCAACGGATAAAAATTTTACAAGATATGCAGACCAAATAGCTAAAATTGCCTAAGTGGTTCCGAATATTTGAAAAACATAGAAAAATATTGAAGTTAGATGTTATTGTAAATTGAAAATTGGCGTCGCTTTGCCAAATCGCGTCCGGTCTGTATGGACCTTTAGTCCTTCAGTGGTAGTAGAAACATCCTTCGTCGAAACGTTTCCAATCCTTTAGGTTCACGCGTGTTAATATCAAGGCTTTCGTATGTACAGAAATATAAATACGTTTTTGTTACTTTTTTTCACAGTCAAAAAGCATGAAAGAAATGAAAGATGCAGCCAGGTGGTTTTAAACGGACGAACTTTGCAGCCACGTAACATGCATGCGGCATGTCGCTCGTTGTAAAACATCGAAAACTACACAAAAAGAAAAACCTACCCAGAGAAAATTGGGAAAGGCGATGTTGGTATGGACACGGTGGTTTCCAAACGAAGTTGCGTTCTTCTAGGGACTGCAGCCCACAAGTACTGCAAGGAAAAGAGGAATGATTTAATTACTTTAGCCGAAGTCTTTAGCGCCTTTCTTAGGATGTGCGCGCGATATAAAGCAAGGATATTACAATAGTATTAAAATGGTCTCACCTGATAACCAGTTATCAGCCCCAGGAAGAGAAAACGGTACAAAACAGCTGGAAACATTTTTTACATCTTAACAAGTGATGTTCCCTCGGCGGCTCCGCAGTTAAAAATTCGAAAAGCAGCTGCTGGATACATCACTTAGTACCACACCTTAAACAGACACTGTCATTGGTTATTTAAAGTAAATAAACCCTAATTGGTTCATTTACAGTAAACTAACAGCCACAAGAATATATGTTTAGAAATCTCATTCACGACATTTGGTAAAAAGTACCAAAAATTTTTTTGAGAGGCCAGTCTGTCATTTAGTTCTACTTTAGTGTGAATTTATGCGTGTTTCGTGTAAAATATCATGTTTAGATTAGTTTAAAATATCATAAATACTTGACAATCAAATTTATTGTTTAGTTAAAAACAACACCTGTCGAACAGGTAGCCTGCGCGCTTGAAAAACAAACTTAACGTAATTAACATTGATATAGAACAAATCTTATTAGCAATTCATTATCTTATTAGCGATTCATTATCTTAATTAAGATCTTTTTCTCCTATTCATAACTTTATCTTTGTTTTACTTCAGAACTCTGAGAGAAAACTCAAACAAAATAATACTGCAGCTGAAAGAACCATAACATGTTCAAACGCACTTGTCAGAGTTGAGATGTCTCTTTATATAAAACATTAAAAGTTTTAAACATGCATTATTTAAGATAAAAAGAAATTTAGTTTTATTTACAATTTATGTGTATACACAATATAAAATTTGAAGTAAATTGCACTTGCACTATTGTTCATTATCTGAACGCTGCTGGACCAATCAATGTATATATATACCACAAAAATCTCCTACTGCACGCGTAAAAACCTCACTACTTGTCAACAAGATGTATTTGCAGTTGCTAACAAGTCTGCAACAAGTTGTTATCATCTTGCAACAAGGTTAATGAGGCCAACAGATTCGCAACAAGTTGTTCCAATAAGTCTAATATCGTCTGCACGTAACAAGGTGTTAACAAGTTGATGACAACAAGCTCGTAGCAACTTGTCAAGAACAGCCTGTATATTAGTCTTGTTGGAACAACTTGTAGCAACTCTGTTATCGTCATCAACTTTGTAACAAGCTAGGTGATAACAACTTGTTTCAGACTTGTCACAACAACTGGGAACAAGCAGTGCGAACACATCCTGATATCGGCTAGCGACAACAACCTTGTTACAACATCTTTGCAGAGCTGAAACAAAATGAGTTTTAACGTGTGTACCCTATCACATGTTGCATGCGTTACCAGTCTGACGTCAACTGGATTTTGCTAGTTCGTTCCAGTCTACTCCTTGAAAAAACGCGTGAGACTTGATGCCTTCCACACCATCCATGGCACTGCCTACAGGAATGAAATTAACAACAGAAAAACTTTCATTAAAATCGATTGTTGAAGCGTAATTGCTCGAATATCATGAATTAGATCTAAAATCACCCAACAAATCGAGCAAACTTACCTAATCTTTCTCTAGAGTTATGACAAATAACCTGAAAAACAGAAATGTATGATTAATAAGATGTTTACATAGTGTTTTCAAAATAAACCAAACATTCTACATACTCCAGACAAAAATGATCGAGCCTCCGTTGATATATCTTGAGACGGGAAGATTATCGATGAATGTGGATAGATACCCCATGGATGAGTGGAACATAATGTCTGTAAAGAGAAAATGATTTGCTTCTGAATTCTCACCACATTACCACAGCAAACACCCACCATCACACAAGATATTATTTATGTGACGTCTCTCACAGATATGGTCTCACACAAATACAAGATTTCGATTTCAACTGGATGCTGACAATGTCAGTTCGACTCGTACCCATTGTTTCTTGTAAATCAATAGCGACCTTAAGCATGTAGGACGGGAACGCGATAGTAAATAAACTCGTTAAACAAGTGGTTGCAGCAAAAAACCTGTCGTCTATTATCCATCGTATGGAAATAATACAATTGAAGGATCAAGGCTAACACAGGGTTATGATTAAAGTTCTACGATTGAAAGTATCAGTTGTCCCAGCTTGATATCTACGCTATACAAGACGTGATAAGCTGTATTTTGCCGTTGTAAACAGAGCACAGCGCCGTCTAAAACGTGGGATTTGAATTGTTAATTTCTGTTCATTTTCTTGCATTACAGTCAATTTCAGCTGACTTTTCATCGTACGATTCCGAACTTCGTTCCGAACTTCGCAAGTTCGTTGCCAAGTTCAAAAGTTCATAATGAAATTCACAAACAGGTTTGTAAACTGGGCATTTGATTGGTTGGTTTGATTTAATAGCCAATCAGAGGCTTTGTTTACAAACCTGTTTGTGAATTTCATTATGAACTTTTGAACTTGGCAACGAATTTGCGAAGTTCGGAACGAAGTTCGGAATCTTACGATGAAAAGTCAGCTGAAATTGACTGTAATAGATATTAATAATATCCTTCCTCGTTCCATTTTCATCCTGCTTGTTCAAGTTCTTAAAGTGCGACTGTAACGAAAATTCATCATCGAGAAAATTCCATTTGTTGCTACTCTCCCCGTACTAGATTAATCGTTGCTTAAGTTTGTTAATACCTTTCCAGTAATGAGTTCATAACTGAGAACACCAAGACTCCACCAGTCTGCAGAAAATGTGATCTTTTCACCACGAGAAACTTCTAAATACAACATATGAAATACAAAGAGTAAAACGACTATAACACAATAAGTCATAAAGTGCAGAGGAAAGCTTTATTTCTGTCATACCAGGAGCACAGTAAAACTGCTGCACTGCCTCTGGGTCTACTGAATGATCAACCTCTTCCCAGACTCCAAAATACGACAACTTAACACGGCCATTTCCATCCAGTAACACATTTGATGGCTTCAGATCTCTGTAAAGAGGAAAATATGATAAGTCTCGCAAGAAATATCCCTACCTTTTATACACAGACGAACTACCTTTCTTTACCCAACTTGATCATTTATCTCTAGTACGGTACTTACTTTAAAATTATTCCACATGAGTGAACACTATTTATGGCCAGCAGTAGCTCTGCTATCCAGTATTGTACACATTTATCCATGGCGAAATAGTCCTTTGTCACGTGATCAAGAAAACCCAATACATCACTGCAACTCGTTGGACAGGTTTCACCGGTTTCGTTGTCTTCGTCTTTTAATGATCTCTTTACCTTATCCTGATTCAAACACGTTTTCTGTCCCGTCAAACAGGTTGCTTGCTCGGCATGTGAAGTGTCAGCGGTTTCAGTTTTACTTTCTTTCATAGTTGATCTATGGTTACTAAACGACGAATTTTCGTCTTTACTGCAACATAACTCATTGGATGAGTTCAAACTATTCGTTTCTGAATTACGTGAACCTTTCAATGGATTCAAGATATCTTCTCTTCTAAATTTATTCACAACAATTTCTGTTGAATCTCTAGCAGAGTTCCCGCCGTCATCGCAGTCAAATATAGTCTTGGGCAACGTTTCATCAATGGAAGTAGTTTCTAGTGCGCCGGAAGGAGGTTCACATTCACCGGAAGTAGGATGAAGTACATCGGAAGTAGGTTGAAGTAGACCGGATGTATCATTCCTCAAACCAATATTCTCATCGGGCAAACCAGAGGCGTCTTGACTCTTAGAAAAGTGCTGTCTAAAAGTTTTCACATGATTCCATAAACATCCTCCTGCAGCGTATTCTAGTAGTAAGAAAATACTGTCGTTGGTGTCAAAATGACGATGTAACTTCACCATGCGTGTAGATCTCACCTAGACAAAATAGATTATTTTAAACGTTTACTAAATGATACGTTACCTTGGTAGGGTCAATAGTATCTATTCATATAGTTTAATTTTGGCGTCAGGAAGAATAACTAGTCTGTTAAAAGCTAGTCTCCTTAAAGTGCCATGACACGAAATTTAACCCAAAATGTTTATGGTCGCATTGTAAAGACCACTTAAAATGACTTAATAATTTTTTTTATAGAATTTTGGTAACTTGCTCCCTTTTCAAGATATTCAACTTTGTTTCATATGCAAATATCACCGGTGTGACATCACATCACATAATGAGTTTTCAGAAGCGTATAGTTTTCTTGACGAATACGTATCTAAAAAACTTAAAAATTGTCCTTGTATATGTATTAATTTCATAACTGGTAATTAACCCTCTGTATTTGTTTGTAAAAATGTTTTATCAAGGTAAAATATTGCGTTTTCAAAATGCCATTATGCGATGTGATGTCACACCGGTGATATTTGCATAGGAAACAAAGTTGAATATCTTGCAAAGGAAGCAAGTTACCAAAATTCTATAAAAGAAATTATTAAGTCATTTTAAGGGATCTTTACAATGCAATCAGAAACATTTGGGGTGAAATTTCGTGTCATATGCACTTTAAAGTTAACAACATCAAGTACTTACATATTTTTTGTAGAAACTTTTATTGGTTTGTTTATTTTCTTGCCTGCTACTCCGATGTACTGCGTTGGTTTTATATAACGCCTTAAAAGATGGAGATGAACAACTTACGTGCGACTTCATTGATTGTTGAATAGATAAAAAGTCCAATATGGATGAACTTCCAAGATAATGGTGAATCATACCTTGATGACATATACACCTTCTAATCCTTCACATTGAACCAACATATTCTAGAGAAAGAGAAAATACCATTTCGAAAGACAGTTTTCATCTCACAAAGTAAATCTGTATTACTCACCTTGTCAATGACACCAATAACTTTTAGACTTGCCAAAGTCACGTGACCGAACTGTCGATCAACGATGTTTCGATCTGTGACGTCATGAGAAGAATTTTGAGGCTTGACTGACCAATCCTTCATGTCATTGTCGTCATGTTTGAGATATGTATTGAACAAAAACTCAGCTTTCACCAAGTATTGCGCTGTCTTACGTCTCACTGCCTCACGACGTTTACCATCACCGTCATCTAGAAAAATACACAAGTCACTACAGAACTAACTTCAAGAAAAGGGTTGCTTCTTAAACACTGGGTACGCGTTCCATTTGTGTTTAATACGCATGTTGAATGCGTATTTGATGGGTTCCAAAATGCGTTTCATTTGCGTTCCAGGTATCTTAAATGCATTGTACAATTTTGCTTTAGCCTCAGCTTCAAACAGTTTGTTGATAATGTCTTGAAAAGCGCGTTTTTTGTAGCAGATTCTCGCCTGCGTTAGCGTTGGGACAGTTCTGAGCGCACTATAGGCAGTGGATTGTTATCTGGACAATTTATTCTAAAATAGGGAAATTAACAATGAGTGTTTAAAAAGATAAAAAGTTAAACTTACGTTGTACACCATTAAGCAATATTCCAACACATATCTTGTATTTATTGAACGCGTCTTCATACATCTCATTAGCTTCACAATATAGAGCTTGTTGAATAATCTGGGCTGCTTGATATAAATAATCTTTCTTCTTTGGGTCTATCCACGACACCGCGATATTTGATACTGCACGACTAACTTGTCTGTGAGCTGGTTTTGTACCTCCTGTTGAACTAGTTTTGTTCACCGCACAATCATCTTCTTTATTTGTGGTTTCGTTATCTTCACCATCCCTCCTATTATCTAATTTCATTGTTGAACTAACTAAATCTTTATCCATTGTGATATCTTCTGTATCATTATCTACACTGTCTTGACCTGATGAAATACTCTGGGAGTCTAATGGTTGTGATAGTGAAAAATCCATTTTTTCTCTTAAACAAGATCCTGATACCTCTTCACTATTTTCTAACTTTCCTGGAGAAGTAATTTCCTCAGAATTTCTTGGAGAATTATTCTCAGAATCGCTGATATTTCTTGGAGAAATAATTTCCACAAAAACGTCTTGTTCATCTTCGCCTTCATTATCGCTTTCAAGTAAAGTTGGCAACATATCCACACTTCCTTGACTTGGTTGATTGTCAGGTTTGATGATGTCATCATCAAGAATATGATCTTTCACATTATTAGGAATGCATCCTGCCTCAGATGCCAACGTTTCAATATCATCACCTTCGCTACACAATGACATTGCACGAGATAGCCATGTTTTATCATCTGAGGTTTCATTAATGTTGAGTGACAATTCATTATTTGATAAATCTCTATTTATTTCATAAATAGTCTCATCATCTGAGCTGTCTTGTTTCTCACTGAAATACATCTCTGGCATCCAAGGTTCATTGCTTGTATCGTCCCATGCTTCACTGGTTGTGTCTGTTGTGGCTTGTTCTGTGTCACTGCATGAGGAACCTCTGCTTGAATGTTCAACACCTCCCTAGGACATGAAAATTAACATTCATGTGTGCACAAAAAGAAGTTAACATGTCTATTGTTACATCTTTCACCTTGGGGCTCAAGGTTAATTGGTCAACATGTACATATTGCAACATATAAATAGGGCTGTTTTAGTTGGTTTGTAGCTTTGCTCAGAAAGATGTCATCTGTCTATTTTTACTCACTGACAAGAAAAGAACATTTGATTGTCACAGACTGGATTGTACTGCTGTTGCCATATGTCAAGTGTCACAAAACAAAACATTGTGCTAGCAAAAATGGTATCCTCAATAAATTGTGGTGGCAAACATCAAATAATGGATTACCTCAAAGAATTTCACAAAAGGTTGACTTGTGAAAAGAAATGAAATATTTCCAGCAAACAAGAGCAATGACAAAGCTTGTTTCTGTCTTTCTTCTATCACTGACTCATCAAATCGATCTGATAAGGATTAAGGTTAGATAAGGATTAAGGTTAGATAAGGATTAAGGTTAGATAAGGATTAAGGTTAGATAAGGATTAAGGTTAAATAAGGATTAAGGTTAGATAAGGATTAAGGTTAGATAAGGATTAAGGTTAGATAAGGATTAAGGTTAGATAAGGATTAAGGTTAGATAAGGATTAGGGTTAGATAAGGATTAGGGTTAGATAAGGATTAAGGTTAGATAAGGATTAAGGTTAGATAAGGATTAGATAAGGATTAGGGTTAGATAAGGATTAAGGTTAGATAAGGATTAAGGTTAGATAAGGATTAAGGCTAGATAAGGATTAGGGTTAGATAAGGATTAAGGTTAGATAAGGACTTAGGAATTAGATAATGAAAATTAAGGTTAGATAAGAATTAAGGTTAATTAGATAAGGATTAAGGTTATTTTAAAGGATATTTAAAAGATGATTATTCAGAATTGGGTTAGATGAATATTAGAGTTGAGATTAGTTACCCAGAGCTGCCAAGTTCAGTTAAATTTAAATTAAAAACCTGAGGTAAACTGTGAGGCAGTTCTGGATACCTTATAATAATTATGATTATTATTTATTTAAAAAATTCTTGGTTTCTGATTGGCTAACAGCCAACTGTGAAATTGTCATATCAACTCATTGGCTAACCAAACATGGATTTTTCACATTCATATTAGCAAAATGACGTCAAAGAGTCAATATGAAAAAAATTTGGACGTGTTTGTGTCATATTACTATGACGACGAGAATCATATTGACTCGCTGACTCCATTGATATGACGACAATGACGGCTGCCAAAGGACTAAGGAATTGTTTTTTTCTTAATACAAATAAATTACAAATGGCTTCTTCCACTGAACGGTTTGCCAACCTTGGCGAAGCCGAAATTCAAAAATTACTGGAAGATAAAGATTCTTTAAATACAAAAAGATCAACAAAAGCTTCTAAAATAGGTAAGAACACTTTTCCTAATTCTTGTTTGGCTGATTAACACAGACGAACAAATGGATGATCGTTTGTTTTGAATTTTTTAAATAAATAATAAAACAATTATTGAATTCGGTTTTCGCACAATATGAAGAATTATCAATCAAGCCCTCAGTTTGCCATTATCAACCTCAGCCTTCGGTTGATAACAGCAAACTTCGGGCTTGATAATTCTTCATATTGTGTTCAATCTCATTCAATAATTGTTATTTGTGGACATTTACCAGTTTAGTATTCTAAATTTATATTTTTTTACCAAAATAATGTCCTTTAGCAAAACGTGGAAATTTTTTCTTCTCAACATTTTTACTTTCATAAATAATCTTCAAGTCTTTATACAATGCTCGAATTTCACTATATCTCTTGAACACAATCACCTATAATAAAACAAAAAATTAAGAAATATGACTTAATGTATGTTTTGCAACTATAGTCAAATCCCTTCCATAGACACCTCTCTTAAGCAAGACACCTATTTTAGCCAGAGACAAACGGTCAGTATAATCTGCAGACTGCGGACTGCAGACCGGACTGGGTACAAAATGCAGACTGGGGGTATAAAATGCAGACTGAGGATAAAATGCAGACTGGGGGTGAATTAGGGATATTTTACAAATTCCCGCCAAGCCATAGTCGAAATGGACGAAGACACGATGTAGAGGTATTGATATTATATGAATGTTTATATTATTCTCATTCAACCGTAAAACGTGATAACTTTAACACATTTCTTTTTGTTTAATATTTGAACGTTTGGTTACGTTGCATTAGATCGGAACAATGAAATCTGGACGTTTTGAGTGTGAAATTGTAATGGTATATATCGTGTCGACTGTCAAGCACATGGTTTTGTATTAGCAATTTTTCATATTTTCAAGCGTTTCGCTCCTGTAATTCAAGTTCATATACGTATATAGACCAACAGCAAGCTTGCGTTTGCCGAGTTTTGAAACATATATGAGTATAGAGTGCTTGTCGACAGTCGACACGATATATACCATTAAAATTTCACACTCAAAACGTCCAGATTTCATTGTTCCGATCTAATGCAACGTGAACGAAACGTTCAAATATTAAACGCAAAGAAATGTGTTAAAGTTATCAAGTTTTACGGTTGAATGAGAATAATATAAATATTCATATAATATCAATACCTCTACATCGCTGTCTTCTTCGTCCATTTTGATGAAAGTGGCTACACTGACTAGCTTCAACATTTTAAAATATTATCAACAAGAACGATCACGTGACTATGGCTTGGCGGGAATTTGTAAAATATCCCTAATTCAACCCCAGTCTGCATTTTATCCTCAGTCTGCATTTTATACCCCCAGTCTGCATTTTGTACCCAGTCCGCAATCTCGTTCCCCGAGCCTGCGATCCTCGGGAAGGAATCGAAGGCTCTGGGATAATCCGTTACCGGAAGCCAAGAATCATGGCTAAGATTGAACTACGCATTCCATATCAATGGCCAATCAGATTCCTCCCTGAAACGGATTATCCCAGAGCCTTCGGTTC